AGGGAGCGAACTGGAAGGCAAAGATGTGACCATCCAACTAGTGCTTGCCGCCCGACTTGGACTCGACTTTGTATATTACTTCCCTCAATTCGTTAGGCAATTGTAATTTTGTGAGGGCCTCAGCCTTGAGTGCGGCGGCCTTTGAAGACTCCCAGCGTTCCAGCAATGGGGTCAGAGCTCGAGGCGGAACATTCTGGTTCCCGTTTTCTCTCAGGACTTCGGCCTCGTTGAGGTGGTGATATTCCGGTAGTAAGAGCCACAATCGATCCAGAGATCGAGCACTGGGTCTTACGTGGTGCAGAGCGATGTACGAGAAAGTAGGGTCGAGAGGTCCCAGCTGCCCGTTTAACCACATAGGATCGGATGGTGCTCTCTTGAAGGGCTCGGATGACACTTCGGCTGCTTTGAGACCTGGGCAGTCCCGTCTGTGTTCGTCCGTGATCGCGACAGAGTTACATGGGGTGGGCCTGCAGCTCATACTTGCCAGTCCAAGAGACATTGTCAGTTAGGTTTGTTGATGGGATCGCGAGAGGGAAAACGATGGAGATGGAAGGTGATCGAAGTGTATTCTGATCACGTGCCATTAATCGACTTCGTGTGAATCATCCTTAGTGCATCACTTTAACACTAAGCTGGCGATGTCTTCGGCTGTACACCCACAAACAGACGGACAGACGGAAATAATGAACCAGCAATTGGAAGTCATGTTACGAGCTTATGTCAATAAGGACAGGGACGACTGGCATGAATTTTTGGACATTCTGATGTTAGCATACAATAATAGTCCTCACACTACTATGGGAGAAGCTCCTGCTACGCTACTGATGGGTTTCCGACCCCGTCTGCCCAGCTCATTCCTAGTTCCCAAGGAATCCCTCAACGTCAAAGCGGAGGAAAGAGTAGACGCATTGAACGTACACAGAAGATGGGCACGAGAAGCGATCCATCTGGCACAACTGCATCAAGTTAGAGCGCACAATGCCAAACACAGGAGAGTAACGTACGAAGTGGGAGACTTGGTACTGATCGATCCTCATAAACTCAACCTCCTGGAAGTAAAGGGTACAGGGAGGAAGCTAATGCAGAGATGCATTGGACCATTTGAGGTGACGGAGGTGATAAACGAAAATGCCTACTGATTAAAACTTCCCGACTCCTACCCTATGTCAGGGCACATACCCTGACTTAGCCCGGACCCGGACCCGCGTCCGGACCCGCTCCACTTCCCATGCACTTCCTGCACTGCACGCTGCATGATCCGACCCCGGATCCCACCTCATGTGACTTCCGGGTATCCCCGGAAGTTTTCGCCATATCGGGCCACTGTGGGAAAGTGAGAAGTTAACCTTCTTCTCACTTTCTTACCCACAGTAGGCAAGTTGTATCTTACTTGCCTTTATCTATTACACTTTCTTACCCACAGTAGCTATGCCCTGAGATGGGCTGTGTTTACAGGCCAGACTGTGGACTATAGAGAGGGGTCATGGGGACCCGGGGTCCGTCCCCTGACACCCTATGCATAACATGGTGACTGTAGCGCACCTGAGGCCTTATCGTTCACCTGGTGATGTCTCAAGACTGTTACTGTCCAACCCCAGGGACGATATGAAAGCCTCGGAAGAGTTTGAGGTAGAAGAGGTGGTGGGGCACAGGAAGCGGAAAGGGAAACTCCTGTACAGAGTGAGATGGAAAGGATATGGGGTGCAAGAAGACACCTGGGCAACCGAAAGAGACCTCCAAAACGCCCCTGAGATCCTCAGAAGGTATAGATTGAAGGCAGGCCTGAGCAGATGTGAATAAGCGCCCACTTCCTGATCGGGTATTCACACGAAGTCGATTAATGGCACGTGAACAGGATACACTTCAATCACCTCCCATCTCCATCGTTTTCCTCTCACGATCCCATCAATGAACCTAACTGACAATGTCTCTCGGACTGGCAAGTATGAGCTGCAGGCCCACCCCATGTAACTCTGTTGCGATCACAGACGAACACAGATGGGACTGCCCAGGTCTCGAGGCAGCTGAAGTATCGTCCGAGCCCTTCAAGAGAGCCCCATCCGACCCTATGTGGTTAAATGGGCAGCTGGGACCCCTCGACCCGACCTTCTCATATGTTGCTTTGCACCACGTAAGACCCGGTGCTCGATCTCTGGATCGATTGTGGCTCTTGCTACCTGACAATCACCACCTCAACGAGGCCGAAGTGCTGAGAGAAAACGGGAACCAGAACATTCCACCTCGATCTCTGACCCCATTGCTGGAACGCTGGGAGTCTTCAAAGGCCGCCGTGCTCAAGGCTGAGACCCTCACGAAATTGCGATTGCCTAACAAATTGAGGGAAGTAATATACAAAGTCAAGTCCAAGTCGGGTGGCGAGCACGAGTTGGACAGTCACATCTTTGCCTTCCAGTTCGCTCCCTGGCAACACCCCCCTACCATAATATCTCAATACACCTACATACTCCGGATCATTTCCCTCCTTACCACTTTCGTCAATTACACCTGGATCCATGAACACCTGATGGAAGTAGATGTCCAAGAGGGATGTAAGATATCCTGGTTGGAACCCCCGAAAGGAATTTTTCTCAAAGAAGGTTCAACTGATGATCGATTGACAGCAAGTTCACCCGAGTTCGCTGTATACCTAGCTTGTCAGCTGCCATGTCGTGTAATCAAGAATGGATTGTTCGAAGAACTGGACCTGAGTGGACATGCCGAGGCTGCTTGTAATTATCGACTCCCGTTGGCTCAAGGGACTGAAGTCCCTTGGTTCCTCGACTGGCCCAGATGGGAAGATGCACCCGGGCCATTGCCTGGTGCTGAAGACAGGGAGGCCTACGAATTCCGACTCATGTGGCCTGGTCCACCCCCTTCCAACAAGGACCCGTCCACCCTCAAGTTGGTGGAGAAACATTGTCTAAGCCGGACATTCTACTACCCGGATACCGGACGCTTCATGACTCGTGCCGAGGCACAAGAGGTGGTCATGGATGACACTGAGCGACTACTGGCACAGCCAGATTCACTGACTCCTTTCGACAAAGGCTCAGACGAGCTGACATCGGGAACGTTGGGTTTGAACCTAGGAGATGCTTCCATGCCACCTCCATCTCCCAACTGGCCAGGTGCAGGGAGTTTGGTCTTCCTACCCCCTCTGAATGTGGTGGTGCCGCAACCAAGCGTTCATCCTACCAACACCCCATCCACCCTTTCCACTGACAACTCTTCCGCCTCATCCTCTCCCTCGGGTTTGTCGAACCATAACCGCTGGAGGAAATTGCCTTGAGAAGAGAGAAGGTCCCATCCGTATCCCAGCCGAAGAGAAGGATCAGTCTCAGGTCATTCAGGACAGGCTCGTTGGCAAATGGGGAACGAAACCCGTCGAACTCGGATGGACTCATATCGCCCTGAACCTAGTCAATCCGACTACGACAGAGATGTGGATAGAAGGTGGTCTTCTCGACCTACATCTCAGGAATCAATTGCTCGAAGGGACAGCCGCTCCAACCCGAGAGACTCGAATCCCGATCCTTCCCCTTCTAGTATGGTACTGTATAGCGCCGGAGGGCCACAGTCAATTCCGTGGACGCCAACCTTTGCGATGCCAGTCAATCCTACGTGGGTGGTGGACAGCAACACCAACACCGCCATGCCCACCTTGGTCGTCAACCTGGCAGCTCCTCCAACGACTGTTCATCCTCCTTCTATGAGCCGGCCCTACCCCCCACCCGTGCAGTACCCAGGATCGGATCCGCACCCATCCTCCTCCTCCGGTGGAGCTCAGTACGATTCCCTCCATCCGGATTCCTATCACGAGCGTTCGAGAAGCCGGTTGCCCTGGAGAGACAACCCGCGGAGATATGCCCCTCAGGGACCGCATCATGGTCGTTAGGAGACTGGGGGGCGATGTTACGGATACGGAGTCTCCAACGACCATATCCGTTGCATAGTCAAAGACTTCTCCTCTCTATTGCTCCCCCTCTTTCTCCCTTTCGTCCTCTATCCCAATACCCTACCCTCCTACTCATTCTACCCCTTCCCCCCCCCTCGTGCAAAGCTTTCCCCATTGGGGTTTTGGTGCTGGCCAAGGTTACTTGTATTTTGCAGGATTTCCCGCAACCTTACCATTTGTAGATAGTCATGCATCTTGTACGGAAACCGCCAAAGGTGGTTCCCGCTAACTAACAACTGCTCTACAACTGTCTTGTGTGTCGTCTTCTGTAACAACCCTTCCTGTGACTCAACTGAACCTGTGTGATTGTACAACTCACAACATGTCTTATAAGTCTGGTTATGTCGAGTCCTCTAACGGCCCTCGCTGTGAGAACTCGAGGTCACGAGTCGAAGACTCTCGACATGTGTATCATCCTATGGAATCTGTACCCTATGGGACCTCATCACTCCACTCTCCCCCCAGTGCTCAACATATGACGTCACATCATGATCATGGAGATCGTGAATACTCTGAGGCCCACTTTCCCGTGATGCCAGCACGTTCGCTATGCAAATGCCAAGTAGCCACCCATCCACTGTCTGTTCCCTCCTTCGTCAGTCATCATGTTCCCCCACCAACGGTATGTTCCCTTTGGGAATGCCAAGTCACCGCAGGCCCTGTTAGTCAATCCTCATTGCACGCTCATGATGTCAACCCGCTACCGGTACATTCACACTGTGAACGCCAAGTACCCAATGGCACTTATATGAAGTTCTCACCCACCTCACGAGTTGCAACCTCACACATGGTATGCTCCGTTGAGGAGCACCAAGTACCCGTGGCAGACCCATCCGTCCTGACATCTCCGACTACCTACCATCAATCCCTTAATAGCTCACCACATCACCAATCATGATCGATGGGAATTCGATCATCCACTCCCATGCAAGACTGGGATCACTCATCGATTACATATCCCATTATGGTACAGACTAGATATGACCTTCATCATCCCACTATAAGAACGGATCATGGAATGGGGATTTCCCCCCATTCCCATAACATGCCCACTACCAATCCACCTCCTGTGTCTGCACCCACTCCGTCCACCCAGATCAATGTTCCCCTCTACCTGGGTCAATGGGGACCCACTGCCGTGCTCAATCCTGCACCTGTATACACTCTGCCTAGTACACCCCAAACTCAGGTTGCTGCAGCAGGGCCAGCTCATGGATTATGAACCAGAAGAACTATTTGCGACAAATGAGGATGGATCACCGTCAACAAATTGTGTGTATGCAGAGCTGAGTTCTGGTTGGATTTGGAATGAGGAACAGGTATGACGCTTACACAAAACTTAACTTTGCGACATACCATAATGAATCTAAATCACAGCGCAAACTAGAAGAAAAGGGGTTAAGCGATTCAACCATACTGGCAATTGTGCTTGGCTCTGACAAAACTCACCTGACAAAGTCTTAGGGGCTAAGTCAGGGAACAGGCAGGTCAAAGGAAAAGACAATGAGAAATCCAATGAGAAAGGTATGAAAGGTATGTCCCAATGTTTTATTACTTCTTTGGACCTCACCGAGATACTTCTGATCAGAATTTGAGTATCAATTCATGTTGAACATGATGGATCCAAAGAAACAGAATGAAACCGTCTACTTTCCAGACTCGAAGTCCCAATCACCAGAAGAGGTTCTCAATGGAATTCTCATTAGGATGAAGGTGGACCTCTCCATGCACCAGATTGGATATCGTTTATCCGATGAGAAGGAATCCATCTTCACTCAGATCCGCAATGTGGATGATTTCACTCACGCTATTCATGTGTGTGATATTCAATCTCGTGCATACAAATCAAAGAAACTACGAATTGTTAATAAGGTTTGTGGTCCACTGTGCTACCCACATGAGTCTTAAGTGTTGGGGTCTATCCAGGATGCCATCAAAAAAGAGCTTCAACCTATGGCAATCAAGAAGCGCTGTAGAGCCAAAACCCCATCTGTCGACAACACTTCATCCATGCATCAAGTAATTTATGATGAACTTCACAAGAGACTCTTCTGCCATGGTTGTGGGCGATGCTGTTACCACCATCCTGATGCTAATTTCCACCATTTGCATGTCACAAATGAGGCCCTTGCCCTTTGGGCAAAAGCATTGGTATGTCCAAGTCCATCTCACTCATGCTTTCACTTTCTAAAGCTGATGATCCCAACATGAATGATTCCATTGACTGACAGGGCAGGAAGAACGGAGTACCTGAAGAGTAAAAATTGAATATTGTGGTTACCAATTAAATGCTCAGTACAAACTTAGTGCCATGGACAAAGAAATCACGTTGGTGAGCCCTATCTCCACAAGGGGCCCAGCCATATGTACGTGATGATGTATGACGGTTGACCCCTGTCTCATCCACAAAAACAAGTTGACTAGCATTGTAAGTCGCCCTCATATGCCTCCTGAAATCTGCTCGGAGCTGTTCATCACGCTCAGCTGCTGGCCTCTGGATCTAGTAGTTGGGAGTCGGAAGATAAACCTTCTTTCTGGTGAGACCGCACCTATGTAGTGCTCTGGAAATCATCCAAGTGCTTGTTTCAATCCCAAGCTCATTTCTAAGCCCAGCCTGTAATTCGTCAAGGTACAAATCCGGCTTTTGTTCGATGAGGCTGTCAAGGAACTTGAGATCATACACCACAAGTTCCATTTAGGCGCGATTTTTGTACTTACATTCACTGCATGGATATTAAGCGCTTGATGTCGCCCTCTTGTTTCAACTCAATCCTGATGGTGTGCATATGGAGCAGTGAGCAACTTCCAAACAGTACGTTCGGACACTCCCGAGGCCTCAGCAATCTCTTGTTGGGTCATCCTTGAAGATAATGACACCAAGATGTCCTTCGCGCTGCGCTCAAGATGTTTTCCCATGTTAGCTAGACAGAGTTCACAGTTTGTTGATGCAGGGGTAATGAGTTTGGGCACTAAGCGCCACATTTAGGGGGAGTTCTACAGTGCCATTGGGGTTTCCATTCAAATCCTGGTTTTGGTAGCGGGTGACTCCACCCCAGATCACTTCCGTCAAAATCGAAACCGGCAGATTTTTTTGCACTTCGCTGTAAGGGTATTTTCCCTTGAACGCTATATTATGACTGGCCCGATATGGGAATAGCGCTCGGCGGCATACTCGGAAGGGACTGAAGATGAAACCAAATGACATTCTAGATAGTGGCCATATGAACAAATAGGTACTTAAGGAAGGTGACCAGCCTCTATCAGAAGGATGAAGCGCGCACGGACATGTCAGGGAATGTCGGAATGAATGTGGGATGCTGCGCATGCGCTGCAATATGTGGGATATGTTGCTGGAGCGGCTCAGCCTCTAACATTCGAATAATGGTGAACCACGTTGTCCATGGGTCCAGGAGATTGTCGTCATTGTTGTCCGAGACTGGAACGCTCGATCTTTACAGCGAAAAACGAAATATCATAGAAAGTGCAACAAGCGAAAACCCTGATTTACTCAAATTGGAAGGTTGTTCCTGACTCACGTGCCATTTGTCGCATTGGGCTGATAGAATTCATTTGTTCATTGAGTTAGATATTGATAGAATAATTGTTTTCGGCAGTTTGCAAGTTGGGTGCTGTGGTCCACGTGCTATGTGTGCTTTGTCCAGTTGTTTGTGGTCAAGGTAGCTCCTCAGTTCGATCCGCCGTTGGTTCATTTTTTGTTGATTTTTTCTTCATGTTCAAAGTCGATGGTTACATAGGCTTTTTTGTTTTTTCCAGTCCGTTCTATACTTATAAAAAAACTCCCAGAAGCATTTTGTAGTAATGGTCGGTGAATACTTCATCACCATTTTCGATGCGGAAAAAAAAAAAAGAAACTACTTTCCACAACACCGAGTCGAACCAACACCACTCAGAATGAGCCCCAAGCCAGATAGGAAACATAACCACTGGTCCACCATGGCACCATTGCTGCAGTCCAACTCTGATCAGTTATAGGGATTTAGCTCGGAAAGTGCATACAGCCAATCCGCTTCCACACGCTCCTCAGCTGCGCCCCTGCACGTACATAGCCCCCTCTTACATCCCCTCTGTGGGGCTTTGTGAGCCCAAATTTCGATATCATCCCGTTTCAACATGATCGAGCAACAGCAGCACGTGAATCAGGGTAACTTCCAATTTGAGCAAATCAGGGTTTTCGCTTGTTGCACTTTTCTACGATATTTCGTTTTTCGCTGTAAGTAGTCTAAATATATTTGGAGTGGTGGGCGTTGCCGCGAGAGCCTATCTCTCATGATCCACCCTGCAAACTACAGCGCAAATCAACCAACCCAACCCCTACCCTCATCTCATAGTTCGAATCAACATCACCCACCGCAAACGTACATAAGGACCCGTTTTTCTCTGATATTAACGCCTCAATCTCTTTCATTGCTGCCGGATCTGCCAAGTACCTTGGCCACGTCCAACTTGCATCATGGCCAAAGGTGGCGGATACGATCATACGAGTTCCACGTCATATTGTTACAATGAGAAGTGAGTAATCGTCACCTACTCAGTGTGCAATGAATGGAACTGACCTACTTTCACGTCTCAGAATGCAACTCATCCAATGCCCTGGTCAGAAGTTGGCCGGCATCATTGCCGGAGCAACCATCGGAGGTATTCATGATGAAAAGTTGGACCATTCATGTAGACTAACTGCGTTGGATCCTGGTAGGACTTCTTCTAATCATCGTCGTTTGGGTCCTCATCAAAGATTTTGCGGAACGGCGGGCCAAGAAGGCCAAGAATAAAGAAATGAAGGACTGCGAAGATCCTTACCCCTCTTACCGCGAGCCTCCGACTCCTTGGTATCGAAGGATTTTGCCCAAAGCCATGTTCAGATACAATCGAGTCGCGAATCCCGCGATTGATCCAGGACCCTATCTGCCTCCCAAGGAGATTTCCAAGGAGCCTCTTGAACCAACAGATGGCCAAGACAATGAAGACTCTAAGTCTGATTACTCAGCAACATCTGAAAGCCTTGAAGGGCCAAGTCTCTACTCCGTTCCCTACGATTATCCTGCGTATCACGCACCCAGCTCTGCTCCAGTCACTGAAGAACCCTCAATTCCCCTGTCCCTCAATATCCAATGCCGATTTCAGTGCCTCCGCCTCCCTACATGCCAAACACACGAGGATCAGCCTCCAGGCAGTAACATGGATTAAGCTATCCTCTCCCATGTTTCACCTAGGAGCGTGATGCGGATGAAATTGCGGGGCCGCATGGATACCGGTGGTAGTGCGTCCAGGCACCATCCTTATTTGCACTTATCTATCCTGGTTCTCTTGATCGTGGACTGAATCCTGCCTTTCTCAGACGGTCATTTCCATGCACGACGTCACAACGGTCGCACTTGTATTTAAGATTTGCTGCATGAAGATAGGTTCCGTCGATTCGTTTTATGTTCTTGTTTTACGCGATCAGCCACGGCAGCAGCATGCGATTTGGATTGCATTTCGCTTTTCTATGGCATTGAGGAGCGTGGTGCCCCTTATTTGAAACACATTTTCCGCTGGGGCTCTATAACCACCCTGTGCTCAAATGGAGGCCTTGCCCCTCACCGCCGTTTGCCTGGTAAGTCTTGCAGGGCAGGTAGAGCGTCTCAGCTTTTGTGTCGTCTGCAATAAGCCACCACTTATGCTTGCACTTATACTCACGTACAAATCTATCATATCCAAACCCCACTACCCCCAATGCCCACCGCGATCATGTTGCTCGTCGCTCTTCTCATTTTACGCCCAACCCCATTCTTCTGACATTCTCTTGTTCTGTGTATTACTAATTGTACGCTCACCGATCGGTTATGTAAATGGGATTTAATGGAGGCATGGGATTAAGTGTGCGGCGGACGCGAGGGAATATGAGCGCTAAGCTAGACCCATGCATGCCTGCGAAGCGCTCTGACCTCGCGTGCTGTTGGCTCTTAATTCACATGCTGACCATTCGTATATGTTCAGTTTCTCTTATGATCATATAAGCTATTCCCAAAGCTGATTAAATCATCCTAAACTTGTTTTGGTACGCTGTCTTATCTTTCTCTCTCGCGCGCGTTCCGCTGGATGCTTCGGCCTCCGTGCCACTTGTGCTCGCGCAATTTCTTTGCCTCGCGTCCGGATACAATCCCGTCTTCGGCGCTAGGCCCTTTTGGTCTGCTTCACTTTTCAGCTCCTTCCTGGCCTTTGTAACTTGGTTTTGTTGCTCGTCTGTCGCTGCTTCAGCGTTACCCATCGCCACCTAAGTGTATTTTAAACCGGTAGCTCGAGATTTCATACAAGGATGGGAAAGTAAAATAGTCACGAATTGTAGATGTGAAGGTGACCTTGCAAACAAGGTAAAGTACTTCTAAAACTGTTTGACCATCGCTTCATACTTCGTGAACTCATCGAGAACGTTATTCAGCCTGACTCTTGGTACCGCAATTACACTAAAACCGAGTGAGCTGATGCATCAGGGGGGGATTTTTACACTCACCTTGCCTCTGGCATCTGCATGCCACTCTCCACTTTCGCTCTGCATGCTTCCCACTCGCTTGCTGCGCGATGTTGATCTGCTTGCCGACACATGTCAAGAGTCCCCTTGGCGTTCTTGATGGCTGCATCCCAACCGTCCAAGCTGGACCGCTTCGATCCCGATTTTGATGAAATATTGTAGTGCAGTGTCAAACATTCGATATATGACTTGAGGAGAAGATCAAAGATGATTTCGCAAATGAGACGAAGGTCCCTCATGAAACATAGGGCACTAGCTCTCCCATCAAGTGCTTCCAATGACATTCTGTCTTTCGACCCAACCGGGGTTTTGAGTAAGCCACAGAAGAATGAAGGTTGACCGGGAGATTCGGTGTTGCGAGAGAACATGAAGAATTCGAATGCATCCCCGTCATACAAGATGCCATAGATAGGGACCTGTAATTTGTTATGCTGATTAACAAAATCGCCAGCTGCAGCGACGATCAGATGGCTTTTCCGTCGGCGTCGAAGAAAGATTCACCGTCACATTCGGCAATCAGCTGTGCGATCGCGTTGAAGCGCTCAGTAGGAGTCCCCTTGGACTCGACGAAAAGGATGGAAATAATACTGCCAAAGATGATAAATTGGTATTCAACTCTCCCTTTGGTCGCCCATCTTCTTTCTAGCAGCGCATCCGGCGTGTTGCGTATGTGTAATCCAAAAAGTGGCACGAGGCAATCAAAGATCTATGGTATCATCAGCGGCCGTTTAG